TGTGTGTGTGTGTGTGTCTTAGCATTTTTAGTAAGTTGTCCCTTTAAAGGAAAAACATAGGCACACTACTTTGTAGTTCATCCTTTTTACTATTCCACACTGAGGAGTATGCCTTCAAATGTTCACACTACAAATGCTGGGTTCTCATCTGTATTAGTAGTCAAAAGTTGTGGCCATTTAAAGCCAGGATGTACAAATTTCTGCTTTTTGTAGATGTAAAAAATTCCCACTTTCAGGAAACTGACATTTTCAAACAGCTAATGGCATTTTGAAAGATATCTACTTTCTAAAAAGATAAATTAAAAAAAAACACACCTGAAAACAAAGCAATGAAATCATAACAGTGTCAACGCGGACCTGTTAATCAAACTGTTAACTAAAGCTACCAAATTAGTCCCCCTTTGGTTTTCTTATGTCTGAAGGGAACTCTTTGGCCAACTATTCAGTCTGGTAGATTCCACTCATTAAAACATCTCACTCTGCTGAAAGGGATTACAACGCAGGCAGACTGCACTCCGCAGCACTCTGGAGATAATTCCAAAGTCTAGTGAAAGACGTCAAGGATTATGGTAATAACTTTAAAATGATAATATATTCAAGCATGCCTCTTACACAGGTTGATTTACCAGTTTGAGTTCTGTATCTGGCAACTGCAGCCGAAGAAGTTCTTCATCTCCTCGCCATGGGAGCATAAATGAACTATCCCAGGAGGCTAAGTCCTCCCTACTTTTCTCCCGTGGATAAGAACCCTGAGAATCTACTCATCGAATTTGATGGGTATAACTGGTCACATTTTAGTCTTCCCTTCCTTTCTTACTTGTCCCTGGACAAATCCCTACGTGGCTGGCACAAACCTAATTTCTGATGCAAATAGGCCAGGTCCCTAAAAAGTTCTGCCCCTTTCGGGTTGTGCCTGGGCATCTCTCCCCCCACATCAATGCTTCGCTGGAATCTCAGATGAAACACTATCAGTAGCTAAGCTGAACAGTAGACCCAGCTGAACGTGACCGAGTCCCCAGCAGAAAGCAATGGGAGTCTCCAGACCTGGGGGTTGGGAGCTGCCTGGGCGGACAGATTCCCGAATGGGCGGGGGTGGGCTCGAAGCCTCAGAGTGCAAAGCCCCCCACCCATCCCCACTCCACCTTCCTTCCTCCTCCTCCTCCTCCCTCCCCTCCTCCTTTCCATCTCCTCAGAGGAGCCTCTCCTCTCCCAATCCTGGTCACTGCGGCCCCTGGGAAGCGGCTGACTGCACTGCTGCTCCCGCCCTCTGTGCCCCCCACCCACGCCTGCACGCCTGAGGGTCCTGGGCGCAGGCAGCCTCAACCAACTTGCTGCCCCTTCCCGCCCACAACTCCCTGGATGGCCCGCTTATCTTGAGGCTGTACGGGGACTCGTCGTAGGTGACTAACATGTCCCGGTCTCCGCGACTGGCCGATTCCCAGGAGCGCAGCTGCAGGGCGAGGGATGATGGAGGGGATTGCCTCGGAAAGGAGCGGAATGACACTAGCGTTACAGAAGCCCCTAAATCCACCTCCCAATCCTTCAGGTGCGAGACCCATCACTCCCCTCCCCTCGCTTACCTTCAAAAATAACTCCACAGCGCCTTGGCAAGGTCCAAATAGGAGGTGCCCAGGTCAGTGCGCTGGTTCATGGACGTGGACCTGTCTATGAAGAACAGCCAGATGGGCATCTTGTCCCGCACCCCTGGCTCTGCTCCCCACTCTCCTGGCCCTCTTGCCCTCACTGCCACGTATGGCCACCCAACCCTGAACTCTTTAGCAGAGCCAGAGGGCAGGGAGGAAGAGGAAGAGGAGGAGACGAGATGGGACAGCTCCTGGAGTCCTCTTTTAGCAGCCCCACCTCCTCTCCCTGCAGGGGAACTTGAAAGTGTGAGCCTGTGTAGCTCTCAGGGGCCTCTCCCTCCCCTCTCCTCCTGCCACCACAACTACCTCCGCCGCTGCTGCTGCTGCCAGGACTACTGCCTAAGCATCCCTCGGTGCTGACTAGAGCGCTCGCCCCAGACTGAGAGCTCCCTTTCTTCACCCTCACATAACTTCTGTTGGCTAACCTACTATCAGTACCCTGTGACCACAATCCACGCCATTGGCTACCAATTATCTTTGATTTGCATATTCATCGGAGGACAAGGCAAGGGGAGGCACTTGGGGAACCCAGAGGGTTGAAATTAGAACCATGGCAGGGGGTAAAGTGAAATGTAAAGGACCCTTGGTAGGCTCAGATTCTCCCTTAAAGGGCTTGGAAGCCTTTAGCATGATACACGCCGGTGGTTTGGATAGATTTTCTCTTGCTCCTCAAAGATGGTAATTCAAAATGAATAGTGAATTGAGCAACAGTTATACAGAATTACAGAAGTAGATGCTTGGACACATCAGAAATGCCGCACAGAAAATGGTTTCCTAAATGCAATCGGTAAATCCTGCCACTGGCTAAGCCCAAAACATTTCAGAAGCGGCAAATTTCTTTCCTGGCCAGAATTATTCACATTCTTTTGGATTCAGCCCTGTCTTGATCAGTATTTGCGCATTATTTGCTGACCTTGTATTCCATGTATATCTAGTTAGAAAGGAAACTAAATCTAAGAGATGCTGAAACTGGCTTTTTGTATGCACGGACTTCTTCAGTTTTATTGAGCTCCTTGAAGCATTGGCCTGCCTGTGATAATTCCACGACTGCGTCTCTGCACAGCCTCTACACATGGAAGGTTTGCCAACCGAGATTCTGCCTCAATTCATGATTAGGCACCCATGAAGTGAAGGACACCCATGGTAGGCTTCTTTAATCTTTGAAATAATTATGGAAGATGACATCATATTCAATTTTCAGAATAGGAAATTGCAGCTCCCGTGGTTAGGGTAACAATGGGGATGCTCTCAGGTCTGCCTCTGAAGAAGGGCTCAGTAAGTTAGTGATCAACCAGACATGGTTGTAACCATGTGATACCATTTTAAAATACAGATTATTTCTAGCAACACGATGTAGACCATAATGTAGAATCCTGAGCTTCAATGAGTTTGCAGTTTTGGTGAGTAGAGATAATCTCACACACATGTGTATAATCTTTTAAATATTCTATATAGACATCCTATGTATTTATTCTGTGTTATATATATTCTATATACCTATTCAATAGTATTTTCAGGGAAATACGACTTTAAAAGAGGTTACGTGGGAGTGTATGAATCAGGGACAGACAGTGATGCAAATAAAAAGTGCAATGGAAGCAATGGTCTGTGTGCTAGAAGTTCAGAAAAGTTTCAAGGTCAAGGCACAAAAGGGGAAAGGAGGGAAGGAAGGAATGGTATCAACAAAAATTCAGTCAGAAACTGTACTATGCATGGTGTATTTAAGGCCAGTGTGGTGGAATATTACAAAACTGATGGTGAAATAAGGATGAAAAAGATACAAGAAGCCCCCATTTCCATGCTGATACAAATATTATTGGAGGACAATAGCTATATGGGCTAGGGTACTAAAAGTACAG